GGGATGGAGCGAGGGGGCCGAGAGACGGGTTCGGGGGACCCCTTGCCCAAGACGGCTCATTAGCATAGTGAACTCTGCGGAGCGGCTTGCTCCGTCATGTTTCGAAACACCGAGAAATCCCCCTTTCTCCACCCCACCTCAAGATCAGGAACTGAAACAGCCTCCCCACCCAAACGCAGAATTCAAGACGACAAGCTTTGTCTCCTTTTTCATGCCGATTTTGTCCGATTTCCCCTGGTTTTACTGTTTCAGTGTTGCTCAAAAGGGAATCCGACAGTTCTACTCTTGATTGTAGATTTTATGTTTCCTGTTCTTCTATGGGGCCTACCAACCAATGGCTCACAAGCCTCGGACCCCACCCCCAAGATCCCCTTCCTTACGCCCCGTCACCTTGCTCCTGGGTCGTGCCCCCTCTCCACCCCACCCCACCCCCCAACTTTCCCTCCTTGACTGCCTCCTTTTCTGAACATGAATAATTCCGCAGCACTTCCCATCTGTTATTGCCATAGAGACAGAAGCTCAGCAGAGATAATGATGTTCTGTGCAGAGCCAGTGGGGGGAGAACAGCATCTGCGAGTCTAGGGGGGAATAGATTCTCTAACCTGGAGAATATCCCGAGGCCTGGCGGAACAGAGACTCAGCACCGGGTCAACTCTTAACACCTGGTTCTTGTGTCTGGCGAGAAGAAACGATTTTTAGAAACCAAGATGACATGTATTAAAAAAAAAAGTGATCCCCAAACTGCAATTAATGATAAATGTTAAGGATCCTTTTATTAGTCATAAAACAATTCTGTTAAAGGCCTAAGGCCTGAAACCAATTCGACAGTACATAAACTTTTGAAAAATCAAGTATTGGTTTCCGTACCCCTCCCACCCCCTTTCTTTTGGTTTGCTTCCCCTGAGAAATCAGTTTGTGAGAGAAGGCTCTTTTGTGAGTGTGGTTTTATGTGCAATGGCTTGACAAATCATGAAGGGCAGATGTGGTTAGAACTAAACAAGCTTTGGAGGCTGTTTGTCAAAGTACAACATGTACCAAATTAAAATTCACTTTGCCCTTGAATTCCCAAGGTCTTGGTCTCAAAGGCACAGGTCTGAACGCAACTGAAACCGAGCGGGGTACATTTACATAGCTCTGCTGCAGGTGGGGAGGCTCACTGTCACGTTTTAAGGATTTCTGAAAATAAGTGTCAGTCCATTTGTATAATGAAATGAAAGCGCAATGAAACACACGATAATGGCTCTTTATCCCAGAAAAAGAATGTAACCAACACAGAATATGGACATAAGAAAAAAAAACGAAAACAAGCACTGTGAGCTAAGTGAATGCTGTAATTCCCACACACTGATCCGTGTTGAAAACTCAGGTATTGTCAGTAAATAACTATTAGGTGGATTTCACATGGCCTCCACCTACCTCCCCTGCTTGGCAGTCCTCAGGAGCTAAGCAAGGCCACATGGTAAAACTATGAGCCTGTGGGTATGTAAAAATTCCAAAAGATGGGGGACAGTTTGCCTTCCTCCGACCCGTAGGACAGATAGAAGTTCGAACCCTTACTGGGTGGTCTAGAATTTGTTTTGCAGAAGTTACAAGTCTCTGGTAATAATGTCTAGTAATAAGTGTAGCTGTTTGCTGTCCTCCAGTTGGCCTGACTCGTGGTGTTCCCCTGTACAAGGGTTATGAAATGCTGCCTAATTCTAAATACTCAGCCTTACGCCATTCTCAGAATCAGTTGCAAATCAGATAGTTAAACCCATGGGTTTTTTTGTGAACTGATTTTCACCAGTAGATCTCCAGGGGCCTTTCTTCTTAGTCTGGAATCGGCTGAAAACCAATCAGCAACACAACAACATGTAATCCTCCACTGACAGAGGAATGGAGGTGTGTTACCTCAGAAATTGACCAAGAACTCTACCACCATCGCCCCTTCTGGTAACAATACAAATCAAGAATTCCATGGCTAATTCTGCCCTATGATGTGATAAATGGGGGCAAATCTTTTCCTTTTGTCTTCATTAACTAGTGTATTAATGTTGTGTATGTCAAGTTAATTCCAACTCAGTAGCCTTATAGGACAGAGTAAAACTGCCCCATAGTGTTTTATAGGCTGAGGTCGTGAGGCAAGGACACCCCCACCCCACCCCCTTGGCTTAGGGGCAGTTCTACTCTGCCCCATAGGGCTGCTGTGAGTCTGAATTGACTCAGTGGCAACAGGTTTGGTTTGATTTTAAATCTTTACAAGAACAGAACTTCGGGTCTTGTCTGCGGAGCTGCTCTCATCACACTGAGTCGATTC